ACAGAGTAGAAAATCAGGCAGAGTAATTACAGGTGGAATAAGGACTATAAGCTCCAGATTACTCTCAGGAAACATTTCTGAGTCTAAACGCACTTTTTAATTAGCTCTTCCAATAGCATCATGCTAATTGGCTAATTTGGAAATGATATGAGACCCTGTGTGCTTTAAAGAAAATCTGTTTGTTGATATATTTATTTGCACCTGAGACTGTCTTATTGCTGGCAGGACAGATATTATTAAAACAGAATCACCTGCTTATTTTAACCAGATTTTTTTCAACGAACACACATGAATTGGATTATTCCTAGGGTTTCAGGAGGAAGTATTAGCATTTTGAGTGATAGGAAATTGCCACTTAGCTGGGAAATAAATGAGCTTTAAATAGATCCCATTATTTTTTACAAGGCTATTATTGTAAATGTTTCATAATAGAAGAAATGCCCTTCAAGTCTATCCTCATTGGTGGTTTATGGTTGGGGTGTTAACCTCTAAGTAGCCCAGCCCTTCACATCCAGCCACAGTGAGTTTTCATATTTTGACTATATAAAATAAAATTACCTTTTATTGGCCCACATAATATTTCCAACAAGTTTCTCTCTTTGTTAGCTATGTTGTAAAGAAAATGTATTAAATTTATTTGCCTGGGCTAGGAAACTGGCTTTTTAAAGTTTTCATGGGTTTAATATATTTTACCTTTAACAAGACTATCTGAACACTATAGAAATATGGATTTAGGTGAGAATGTGGTGATATATTTGGATATTTATTTTTATCTCACTTGAATATTTCTCACTGCTTTACTTGTGTCACTCAGAGATAACACTTTATAATCCAAACAAGCCTCCACTCTAGCTTACTATTTAAAATGTTCCTTTCCAGCCTAATTACTGCCACTAAATAATAAAAGAAGAAACTGCATGGATCATCCTGGATTTCACAAAGTACAGTGGTAAAAAGTCTCCTCCCTCCAGTTTAACAGTCTTCTTTTTACTCAGTATTATTGAGCCTCTGCAGCTATTCTGCATGTGGGCTAAGGCTCCTCAGTAAGTTTGGAAATGCTAGGGTGCCCCCTACCGTTGTAAATGGGGAAGATGTTTCTTTGCATCTCCATTCAGAGAACAGCATTCTCCTGAAAATGCTATTTAACCAAAGTTCAGATGCGGGATGGTTAGTCACGTGGTAAGTGGATGGATGGATGGATGGATGGCAAGAAAATAAGGATATATATGAAGCCCACCTGAGGATAAAATTTAAATTTAGCTACTTAAATGTTTACCTGGTCTAGAGGTCTATCTATGGGGGGAAGAAGGGGAATTGAGTATTACATGACCAAAAATATTTGCGTGTGTTCTTTTCTAAAATAACAGTGTATATCTTTCATCATGATTTCAAAGGGATATAAAACCAGGGTCATTCTCTCTCTGTTACCTTCCCTGTCGTCTTTCTTGGTGGTATCAATATCCAGGTAGGTGATCCTTCTGCTTAACAATGGACTTCACACTTTTTGTACTCCTTTCCTTCAATGATCCTATTCTCCACCTGTTTAAGTCATGCAATCCTATTATCACATCCTAGACATTGTCATTACCAACAACTACCACGTACAGAATTTCACTTTGCAAGCATTCCACTTTGTGATCACCAACTCCTATCTTATATATAACTTCTTCATCTATATATATATATATATATATATATATATATATATATA